TTTTTTCTTTTGGAGACAGAGTCTTGCTCTGTCGCCAGGCACCAGGCTGGAGTGCAATGGTGTGATCTCGGCTCACTGCAACCTCCGCCTCCCAGGTTCAAGCGATTCTCTTGCCTTAGCCTCCCAAGTAGCTGGGACTACAGGCGCGTGCCACCACGCCCAACTAATTTTTTAATTTTTATTTTTAGTAGAGACAGGGTTTCACCATGTTGGCCAGGATGGTCTTGATCTCTTGACCTCGTAATCCGCCCGCCTCGGCCTCCCAAAGTAATGGGATAACAGGCTTGAGCCACTGCGCCCGGCCAGCCGGTGATGTTTTCTTTAAACAGTGTTTCCCAGTCATTCCCTCCTGCCTGCTGGCTCCTTGGCTCTCCAGGGCTCTCACTAACCCACCTGCCTAACTGGGCAGCCTGCATCTCTCCAGGGGTCCCAAAAGCTTAGGGCTGCAAGACACCATCCAGGTAGCAAAGAGGAGAGGGGACCCAGTCTGGAGAGTAGAACAGTAACTTTTCTCTGTAATTTGAGATACCAAAATGAGATGTGGCCCGGGAGCAGAAGTCAGTCTCTTAGGAGCGGGCTGTCTACCCAGGAGCTTCTGTGTGCAAACAAAACACCCTGAGAGAAGCAGAGGGACAGGGTGCAGTGGGGCAGGTGTCCTTTGCACCCCCAGAGGCCCACACCTGGGTCCCTTCCTGCACAGGCCAAGGAGTTTCCCATTTTAACTGGAGCCAGAGTGAGCCTTGCAAGCCACTGCTGCTACCAGAGCTAGTGTGATGAGTAGAAAGAACCAGGAAAGAAGCAAGGTAGTGATAAGATCTGTGGCTCTGAGCACTTCCCAGCAGGTAAGGCCGCGCCTAGGAAACAGGGCTTGGTTGGGGAGCCCAGAGTCTGCAGTGGAGACACTGTTCTCGGCCAGGTCCTTGAATTTCTGCAGAAGTGTTTTTTGTTTGTTTCTGTTTTTCCCTGGTCTGGTGTATCTGGAAAGGGAATTAGCCTCAAACCAAGTTAGTCAGTGAACAAAAACCCCAAGTAAACAAAAGAATGCTGTTCCACCTTCCTCCAGGGAACTGGAACCCAGAGCTGTGGGCACAGGTGTCCAGCCTGCTCACTGGCCCAGCGGGTTGCTTGGTCTCAGGGCCCCAGAACCTGTCCTGCAGCCACATACATGATCGCTGTTATCCATGGAGAAAGAGAGGCATTCTCTCTGTTTATCGTCTAAGCCAGGTCACCTGATTCACTCTCACTACTCTGCAGTTTGGAACTGTAAAAAGCAAAAGGCTACAAAAATCAACACCACCCATCTACATAATTAACTATTTCTTATCATAGCCCAGGAAGGCATAGATAGGAATCAGTGTGCGTAAGCTCTCCACATTGAAACTCTATGAAAACAGCAGCCTTTCCTAAGCGTCTGGCTCCTAGGAGCTGGGTGTTAATTGTTGCTGAAGCCTGGGTTCATTACTACAAAAGGAAATAAACATTCCAGAGTCATTTTGAAAGCAACCTGATTGTTCTAGAACATTCACCCAAAGTTGAGCGTCTCATGGTGCATGGCAGGCCTACTTCAAATAGAAACGACTGGCCAGGGGGCCCCTTAGCCAGGAGCCGAGCCCCGGCCAGGAAAGGACTTTCCACTCCTTGCCCACCATCCTTCCGTGGATGCGATGCCGGGGACTTGCAACTCTATTTCCACTAAAATCCAAGTTTCTAAAGCTTCGATAACTGTCCTGGGACAGTAAGAAGTGCTGGCTGCTTATCCTTTCTACTCAGTGGGGAAATTGGATCCTTCACCTTGGTGGGTCACTCGCCTTGGGGAAAAGCCTTTTACGTCACTGAATACATCTTTTTCTGCAGCCCTCATCCAATAGCCAGGCCGCTGCAGCGCAGATGAAAGCTTCCCCTGCCTTCAGAGTGCTCCGAGTAAGTGGGAAAGAGATGGCTATACGGACAGTCTTAATGCAGCATGACGGGCTGAGGTGTGCGGAGACTGGTCAGGGTGGGTTACCAAGGGTGCTGATGCCCAAAATAACATGTCCAGGATGAGTTAGTGTTTGCTGAGAGAACGAGGGGAAGCAAGAAAGGGTGTTCTAGGCAAGGGATCAGCATACACCAAATATAGCGTGGAAAAGCAGCCGGAAGCTTCATGGGGTTTCACCAGGCGTGAGACCTGCAGCCCCACCTCTGACAGGGCCCTGAGCAACAGAGGACAGAAACTTCCTAAGAGAGACAGGAAAATAAAATGCCATGATGTTAGTGAAACAAATTCAGCCACCTTGGTACACAGGAGTCCTCCGCTGGCTTCTGTTTCTGCCAGCTCTGTGCAGCGCAGGCGCTATTGCACGCTCTCTCACACACATGTACAGGTACGCGGGTGCCTGAGGGCTGAGGGAGGTGGTCACCGTCTCCATACCCAGTCCCTGTCTGTCTCCAGGCCTGCTGCTTCTGAACCACACGGGGAAGCCCATTTCTATTGGGAAACTCTATCAGTTAGCCGTGGGTTTCAGCAAAGTTCACTTCACTGTTCACAGACATTCATTATTAACAGGCTGCTTGATAGCACTTTGGGCTCTTTTTAAATAAGACATAGGAAGAAAGATGCCAACGCTGCATGTGAAATACTCCTGATAGCCTGATGGGCTCCCGTCACCCATCCACAGCCGCACCCAGGCTCAAGACATTTTCATGGTTATGAACTGAAAAGAACCAAGACCCCTGGAGCAGGTTCTCCTTGCCAATCCATGTTCCTTTGAAAGCGGTGAATATAGGCCAGGGAAGCGAATGTTTCTACTCCAGTTTAGTCCTAGTGAAACATCGGGAAATTCATTGTGTTGGTACCAAAACCCAAACCCAGAACATAAAGACCGTAAAACCCTGTAAAGCCAGCGGTACGCTGCGGTCTGACTGCTGTATGCTTCCTGGGCCTCCCCAGTCTGACCATGCACTCCCTGGGCC